ATATATATATATTATGATATTCTTTTTTATGTAAGATCACCATATTATGACTACATTTTCTAAATTTTATCCAATATATATCACATAGAAGACATTTCATTAACATACTGAAATAAAATAATTTAACAATAGAAATTGAGAAATATATCAATTATTATTTATATATCAATATTTATTATTTGTAATAGTGTCATCTTGAAAATACGTCTTATCAAGCATCTCTCGACCTCGCCTAGAATAACACTTATAGCTAGTAGACACCTAATTGACATCTTCACTGTTTTTCCTTCTTTATCTAACTTGCCAGCAGTTTTCGATAACGCTTCTTTATTTAAACTGGTTAGCAGTTTCTTATATAAATTATCATATATATCATCATTCGTCAGCAGTTTAGTATTACATCAAATCGGCCCGTGCAAAAATCGGCTCTAACACGTTTCGGCCCATATTTTGTCTTTATTTTGTCCGGGAATTACATAAAACTACCTTAAATATTAATATATATTACCTTCCAAATGGATTAATTTCCATTCCTTTTAAATTGGAATTAATTCCAATAGGATTTATTTCCAATAAAAAGTATTGGAAAAAACTCCAATTGGAATAATGTCCAGTTGGGTTTTATTCCAATCGGATTTTTTTCCAGTTAAATTTAATGGAAAAAAATCCGATCGGATTTTCCGAAAAATGCTTAAATAGACGTTATTTCAACAAGAAAATGCATACAAATACATATTAAGCATGTGTTTATGTATTTCGACAATTTCATAAAAATTGAAATTCCAGTTGGAATAAATAATAATGTTGGAATAAATTCCAATTGGAATTTAAATAATTCCGCCCGGACAGCATAATTCCGGTTGGAATACATGAAATTCCGCCCGCACAAATTTTTTAAAATACATTTTTTGATAAGAAAAAAATTAAAAATAGCTTTAAATGAAGTCAATTATTAATAATTAACATTAAATCTATCGGATGAAATGATTTTTGAGTGTTTAGGGCAAGTATAAATGGTAGTGAAGTTTGCCACTATCCCGGTGGTGCAAAGATTTTCCGGTGGCTGTTCTATATGCATATAGGGAAAATCAATGACACCCTGGGGCGGGGCCAATTTTGACCCCAGGGCTTTTATTTGAACAAACTTTGTAGACATCCATTAGAACATGTTTCATGCCAAATATCTTAGCTTTAGCTCTTTGGGTTTTTTAGAAGAAGATTTTTTAAGTTTTTACTATATGCATATAGGGAAAATCAATGACCCTCTGGGGGCCAATTTTGACCCCAGTGCTTTTATTTGAACAATCTTGGTAGACACTCATTAGAAGATGTTTCATGCTTTATATCTTAGCTCTAGCTCTTTGGGTTCTTTAAAAGAAGATTTTTTTCAGTTTTTACTATATGCATATATAGGGAAAATCAATGACCCCCTGGGGCGGGGCCAATTTTGACCCCAGGGCTTTTATTTGAACAAATTTGGTAGACACCCATTAGAAGATGTTTCATGCTAAATATTTTAGCTCTAGCTTTTTGGGTTCTTTAAAAGAAATATTTTAAAGTTTTTACTATTTGCATATAGGGAAAATCAATTACCCCCAGGGGCGGGGCCAATTTTGACCCCAGGGCTTTTATTTGAACAAACTCGGTACAAATCCATTAGAACATGTTTCATGCTTTATATCTTAGCTCTAGCTCTTTGGGTTTTTTAGAAGAAGATGTTTAAAGTTTTTTCTTTTGGTTGCCATGGCAACCAGAGTTCTGCATGGCATGGAATTCTTTGAACAACTATGTTAAGGCTTCACACAAGGAACATCCCTGTGAAGTTTCATTATGATCTGCCTTATGGTTTCAGAGGAGATGTTGTTTGAAAAGTGTGAACGGACAACGTACGACGGACAACAGACGACGGACGAAGAGTGATCCTAATAGCTCACCCTAAGCATATGCTCAGGTGAGCTAAAAATAGATGAAATGAGTAAACCAATGTTATCTTTGAATGATAAAACATGGTAAGCTTTCTCTATATTGGATATACGGTATATAAAACTGATGAGATAGATAGTATAGGGTATCTGTGGCTGAGTGGTTAAGGTTGTTGCCTTCAACAACCTGCCACTGAGGCTTCAAATTCCAACAGGGCCTTCAGATTCTTTCACACAAGAACTACTCAAATGTTTGTTCATGCCTGAAATAATACAAGGAAGGGAACCCGAGGTCCACCTTTTCCAGTAAAGCTGTAAAAACCCCTTATAAACTATACTGGTTGGGTAAAAAATAAAGATGGTATAGAAGTTATCAACAAGAGCACCGCTAGGCGGAGCATAATATATGCATGAAAGTGTTTTTTAGTAAGAATGAAGCATTTGTAAGACATTACATAAATTAAATAAAGTATTACCTCCTTCAAAGAACAATCCTCCTATAAAGTTGGAATAGTGTGGGTCAAATGGAACTTAAGTTATGCTCTGGAAACTGTTTTCATTTTTGAGGTAATAGCGACCTTGAACTTTGACCGTGTGATCCTTTTATCAATAGGGGTGTTCTACCCAATATGGACAATCATCCTATGAAGTTTGAACACTATGGGCCAAATAGAAATTAAGTTATGCTCCGGAAACTGTCTTAAGTTTTAAGGTAATAGTGACCTTGACCTTTTGACCCCAAAAACAATAGGGGTCTTTTATCCAATATGGTGAATCATGATCTATGAAGCTTGAATATTGTGAGTCACATGGAACTTAAGTTATGCTCCGGAAACTGTTTTCAGTTTGAAAGTAAAAATGACCTTGACCTTTGACCTTGTGAACCCAAAATAAATAGGGGTCTTCTACCTAATACGTACAAAATTCATCCTTTGAAGTTTGAACACTGTGGGCCAAACTGAACTTAAGTTATGCTCCGGAAACTGTTTTCAGTTTTAAGGTGATAGTGACCTTGACCTTTGACCTTGTGACCCCCAAATCAATAGGGGTCTTCTACCTAATATGTACAATCATCCTATGAAGTTTGAATATTGTGGGCCAAATGGAACTTAAGTTTAATGCTTCAGGCCTAAAAAAAAAATGTTTTGTTAGGGTAACATGCTCTCAAGGAATAGGTAGGGTAGGTCGGATTTTTTTTTTTTTTTTTTTTTTTTTTTTTCACCAGTATATTGAAATTTAGATATGGAAATTTCTGACATCCCTCCCGGGTGGCACAAATACATCCCTTCTATGTTTTTCAAAAGACATTTCAGGTGTAACGATCTTAAACTCTCAGCGTTCTTCTGGTGAAGATCACACGCCGTTTTACAAATATTGACGATGTGATCCACCATTTTGTAACTAAGAGCGGCGATAAAACCTGTACCGTACCCAGGGCTCATCCTGGGGGGAAATTATAGGGAGAAGTGACTTCCTCGTGAAAAATCGGCAGAAGGGAAACATCCCTGTTTACAGAAATTTCTTTTATGATCTTCTTTTTTCTTTTAAATGCGTTTATTTAAGGTCGCCGCCGGAAAGCCCATATGGGCGACCGTACACTCAAGTCGGGTCATCCTAGAGCGTCCCGCCGAGATTTTTCGTCGATTTTTTTTCAGCTTTATTGGTGGAGGAAGACCCCAGGTGCCCCTCCGGGCATTATTTCAGGCACGAGCGGGCACCTGGGTAGAACCACCGACCTTCCGTAAGCCAGCTGGATGGCTTCCTCACATGAAAGATTTCGACCCGAGTGAGGATCGAACCTACAGTGGTGAGGGACCTGTGATCTCAAGTCAACGACTTTAACCACTCGGCCACGGAGGCCCCTTATGATCTTCTATGTTGTATTGTCTCATTTATGTGCATATAATTATGCTTATAAAACAATTTTCAAATATCGAAGAATATGTAAAATATGTACTGCAAACATTTGTGCACATTATATTGATCACTAAAATTATATACATTCATTTCTTATTGAATAATTCGACTGAGAAATTATAGAAAATAAATTTCTAATTACCTCCCTTTATTTTCATGAAATGTTAAACTCGGTAATATATTATTGAATAATGCTTTTTGAAATTTACAATATTAATAAATCTTAATCTGAGCGTCATATTTATGACATTAAAACAAATATATATATTGAAACAATAAGAAACACTTCTTTCCTGACAAATTTTGTTGTTATATATACATGAGCACATTATATACGACCGATATGTCGCATGCCGATCATGATTCGTAGTTTTAGGATGTCGTGCCCACGTGCGTACAAGCTGTGTCAAATTTGGCATTGCTACAAAGATAACAATGCAAATCACCCTCACTGTCTACAACATACCAATCATAAGATTTTTGCGAATTGACTAACAGTTTTGTGATAGCCGTGAAAATCCCATTGCACATCGCCTTTACTTCGGTTAAACACCGCGTTAGGGAAGATTTGCACGTGTTTAGATGATCGGAAAAAAATATCTATAATTATCGCCAAATCCCGTATCAAACTCGCAAAATATACCCGTTTCGGGCCGATGCTCTCATTATTTACTGTTTAGAGTAGGCGGTCTATCGCTTTGCATACAAGTAGAAGGGTAGTATATAGCGATGCTCTGATTGGATAATGATAATCAGCAGTCGTCATATGGGCGGATACAACCTCTGCCCTTTACATCGGCAAGTAAATTTACTCTTTGGGAATTAGATTTTATTGGCGATGTTGACTTCTCTTTCATCAATTGGGAGAGCGAAATGGAAATATACACAGCGAAATTTACGCCTGAATTGCCCTTCACACTGCTCATTGAGTACCTCAATAATACGGTATTTTCATGGATTTTTTTTTTTGGACACGAAAAAAACGGTAGGGTCGGCGCATATTATTAGGTAGGGTCGGGTGACCCGAACAAAACAATTTTTTTTTAGGCCTCATACCAAATTGCTAACGGACGGACAGACGGACGGACAAGGCGCCGACTATAATTATGCTCTCCAAAAATTTGTCAAGGAGCATAAAAACTGTAAGAAAATATTGTTAACCTGCTCAAAAATGTTGTTCTTGTTGACTAGGTTTTCATGTACTTTCAACTGAAGGTCTTTGTAATTAATGATAACGCTGATGATGCCATTGAAGTCTGTTTCTTGTGCACAAACTACATCTTTATATCCATCTGGGGGCATGAAACATTTAGCTATCTCCCAAGAATTACTGCACCATTGGGTAGCATCAGTGTTTTTGTAGGATGGACCATAGAACCTATGTACATTCTGTATCTCTGTTGTGAAATTATGGCATATCTTGTTAGGGCAGCCGGCAGGATTATACCTTGTTGCAGCATTTCGATGATAACTGCATCTTCCACGTCCAACATTACATATTCTATTTGTTGGACATTTAATAACATTTTCCGTACAGCAATTTGAACACAAAGTTCCACTTATCAATCCATTGTTGTAGCAAATACCATCTAAACATTTCAAACGGAATTCTTGAACTTCGTGACATACAAAAGGTTCAAGTCCGTCTTTAGTAAACAACACTGCTAACTGTGCTTTAACCCAGTTATTGTATTTCTTCTCTGACAGTTTTGAGCTATATGAAGCCATTGTTTACTTTGTCTTATTGAGGTAACATTATCACATTGTTGAATGTCAATCTTAATCTGGAAAATAACAATAACCGGTGTTAAAGTCAGTGTAATTTATACAGTTTAAACACTTATTAACTTTTGAAAAGATATCTAAATATCTTAAAAGAGATGTACACACTTTAGTCAGTTATAATTATCAGAAGCCACCGCTGGGGGGAAGCAATGCTAGACTATTTACTGGTTGGAGACCACCAAAACCTGAACGGTCCCAAAAATGCCTTTTTTATTTGTTCAGTGGTAGTTGATCAATCAGTCGCTTTTATATCAACAATAACTGCATGTTTGTTCTATAATTAAGTAATTAAATTTATTTCAATTTTCCTAAACAGTAATATTTTAATGTCTTTTTCAAGAACGTTGACATTGAAAATTTGGACATCAAGAGTGCAATACCTGACCACTTATACTAGTTAATTAAACTTGATTCCAAATAGAGTGAAATAAGAATCCCAAAAAAAAGCCCTGAACGCGGCAAATTTGAAAATGTTGCAGGCTCGGTTTGATTGAGCCTGTTCATGGACGGTACTGTCAAGTGCAAACTGCCGTCCACGCCCCCCTAGCACCGGCTTAAGCAGAATTCAACATTGTACATGAACTGGCAAAATTTAGAATTTTGAAACATCTGCAGATATGTTCATATGACGGTTATCATGGAACCTTCAATGTGACACGTTAGTGCCATTCCATGAAAAGCGGCATATGGTCCCCACGTAAAAAAATGCGTGTGCCCTAAACGAGAAAACAATGGGCGGAACTAAATAAAATGGAATTTTGAAAGAGGATCTGAGGTTATGAGCATGCATATCACAGATATAACGTCAAAAGACAATTTAAACAAGAGGGCCATGATGGCCCTGAGGTCGCTCACCTGTATATAGCCCCCCCACAACCCCCACCCCCCCCCAACGTTGCAGAGCCAATTTAACCCAAGGGCTTTTATTTGCACAAACTTGGTAGACACCCATAAGAAGATGTTTCATGCTAAACATTTAAGCTCTAGCTCATTGGGCTTTTTAAAAGAAGATTTTCTTTAAGTTTTTACTATACACATATAGTTAAAAACAATGACACCCCTGGGGCCGGGCCAGTTTTGACCCCAGGGCTTTTATTTGAACAAACTTTGTAGACACTTACTAGAAGATGTTTCATGCTTAATATCTAAACTCTAGCTATTTGGGTTTTTTCAAAGAAGATTTAAAGTTTTTGCTAAACACATATAAAGAAAATCAATGACCCCCGGGGCGGGGCCAATTTTGACCCCTGGGCTTTTATTTGAACAAACTTGGTAGACACCTATTAGAACATGTTTGATGCTAAATATCTTAGCCATAGCTCTTTGAGTTCTTTAAAAGAAGATTTTTTAAGTTTTTACTATATGCATATAGGGAAAATCAATGACCCCCCGGGCGGGGCCAATTTTCACCCCAGGGCTTTTATTTGAACAAACTTGGTAGACACCCATTAGAACATGTTTCATGCTAAATATCTTAGCTCTAACTTTTTGGTTCTTTAAAAGAAGATTTTTTAAGTTCTACTATATGCATATAGGGAAAATCAATGACCCCCTAGGGCGGGGCCAATTTTGACCCCAGGGCTTTTATCTGAACAAACTTGGTAGACACCTATTAGAACATGTTTGATGCTCAATATCTTAGCTCTAGCTCTTTGGGTTCTTTAAAAGAAGATTTTTTAAGTTTTTACTATTTGCATATAAGGAAAATCAATGACCCCCCGGGGCGGGGCCAATTTTGACCCCAGGGCTTTTATTTGAACAAACTTGGTAAACACTCACTAGAAGATGTTTCATGCCAAATATCTAAGCTTTAGCTCTTATGGATTTTTAAAAGAAGATATTTTAAGTTTTTTCTTTCGGTTGCCATGGCAACCAGAGTTCTGCATGAAATTTAATTCTTTGAACAATTTTTAAAGGTGACCACCAAAGGAACATTCCTGTTAAGTTTGGATGAAATTGGCTTAGTGGTTTACGAGGAGATGTTATTTAAAGTAAGTTTACGGACGGACGACGGACGGACGCCGGACAAAAAGTGATCACAAAAGCTCACCCTGTCACTTTGTGACAGGTGAGCTAAAAATAGAATTGAGATAAACAAATATCCTTATTAAAATCTTTTATTACTTTTTATTTCATGCTTTCCAGTGTTTTATTGTAATATATCAGATGATTATATTCTGATAAACCACTAGTGAAATTTATAAAATATAATTTTCACTGTAGCCGGACTATATCTGAATGCGGATGAAAAGAAAATCAAAACTGAATGGAATAACAGGCAAAAATAAATGCCGTCATGCGTAAATTTTGCTTCTTTCGGAAAAGAACGTTGAGGTCACCATACATTATGTTAAAAATGTAACAAAATTAAAGAAATTGAACAGAACTATATTTCAAACTTGTTGATGTGACGTCATGATGTGATGACGTCACGAAAGAGAATGCGCGACGTTACGCGGCAAAATCAGTAAAAATTACTTAAAATCACTTAAAACGCATGAAATAAAAAGAAAATTTATTTGTTTTACATATAAGATTGAAATATATTTCATTCGTGAACACCAGCTATTATATTTTCACTCGTGGCTACGCCACTCGTGAAAATATTGCATCTGGTGTTCACTCAGTGAAATTATATTTCAATCTTACATGCAAAACAAACAAATATCCTCTATGTATTTACTAGTAAAAGAGCAAAATAATCACTAATTTATTGCTTCTATTCTAAATAATCCTACTTCAAGTGATATTGTTTAGCACCATAAAAAATTGTAATTTACTAAGGTATAAAATGAACAGATGTGCGAAGGTGTGAAAGGCAACAAAAGACTGTTGTGTTTTAAATGAAAGATGATAGTATTGTATTACAGTTGACTTGTTACTGTAATAGTAAGATATGATATGAATATATGCTGTAAATATTGTTTGTAAAGAAAGTATTTTAAAACTATAAAGTTGTAAAAATGTTATGTTAACTTTAAAGTAAATTATGATTTTATTTCTTTGCTGAATAATATTTGAAATTATTTGTTTGACACTGTGTATTTTTTCAAACTTTGATGAATATATAAAAGTAATGATACTGATACTTAATAACTTCATTAAAAAAAGTACTGGTATTGCAGTACCAAGGTAAAATCTAGTACTGGTATTAAATAATTTGCCAAGTACTGGTACTGGTACTTAAGTACTACACCCTTGCTTAGTACTGATGCAGCTCTGGTGATAAATACCTTTCAAAATAATGAATGGAAACCATACTAACATTCAGGAACCCTGTGACCTTGACCTTTGACCTAGTGACCCCAAAATCAACAGGGGTCACTTACTTGTTTTAACCAATCCGTATGTGAAATATGAAGAATCATTTGATAAAAAGTCTTCAAGATAATATGTGGAAACAATTCTGGCATTTAAGGCCTAGTTACCCTAAAAGCAATGTGGATAATCTGTTGTTTATGACCAATCACTATGTGAAATATGAAGACTTTGTGATAATTATCATTCAAGATAATTAGCAGAAATCATACTACCATTCAAAGTCCCTGTGACTTGACGTTTGACCTGGTGACCCCAAAATCAATAGGGGTCATCTACTAATTATGACCAGCCTGAATTTGTGAAATATGACAACTTTTTGATGAATACTTTTCAAGATAATCAGCGGAAACCATTTTGACATTTCAGGCCCCTGTGACCTTCATCCCAAAATCAATAGGGGACACCAATCACTATGTGAAACATAAACACTTTGTGATAAATAGTTTTAAAGATAATCGGTTGAAACCATGTGGTCAACCGATGGACACCGACAGACCGACGGACAGTCAGACCAACAGACAAACCGACATTAGCAAAACAATATACCCCCTCAGGCTCTACTTCGAAGGGGGGGGGGGCAGGCATAAAAATACTGCAAGAATTAATATATCTGCAGGAAAATAAGATTACTGGTATAAACAAGAGCTGTCCGTAAGACAGCGCGCTCGACTTTTTTATTGCTTGCCAATAAAAAAAGTTTTTGCAGTAAAAGGCAATACAAGAATTTCTGTATTTTTAAAGTGAACAATGGCCATGAGCATCAAGATATTTAGTGAAGAATTATTTTACTGAATTGTGTGATACCCTTGAACACTGCAGCAAAGTTTGAAATGTTTAAGTCAAAAGAGGGCTGGTAAGAAAGAAAAAAAAACTGAGTTGAGCCTTAAATAAATTTAATAGTATTAAACCCACTTTGAGAGAATAAGGTATTTTTACGTCACTCAGAACACCTTGGTAAATGACATAATAACATAATTTTTCAAGAAATCTATGCCAAGGAAGCAGTATATTTTTGTACAATCAGCATAATATATAGATTTGACTTTGTATGTGAAAGTATTATAGTTACCTTATAATACAAGTAATAGATAAATTTTATCAAGCTTTTTTAGATGTTGTCAGTTGGTCACAAGTGGATCTCTTTCACACAGGCTGTGGGTGACTGGTTACTTTTCGTAAACAAGTATTCCAACTTTCAAATTAATATCTCAAACAGTTCAGTCAAAAAGTGGACTGGTACTAAAAACTTAACCAAGATTCTAAGTCGATAAAAGGCCTTAATTTTTAAAACAAATCCTTGACAGAGTTACCTTCTCTTGCGTACAGATGGGGGTAATGATGTGAAATAGCATTAAAAGTTTCAAAGCAATATCTCAAAGGGTTAAGGCAATAAGTGGATTTTACCCATATTCAATGTATTTTCTAAGTCAAAAAGGGGCATAATTCTGTCAAAAACCTTGACAGAGTTATGTCCTCTTGTCTGTTGATGAAGGTCGTGATGGTAAACAAGTATGGTCAGTTTCAAAGCAATACCTCCAATGGTTTTGAAATAAAGTGAGGTGGTACAAAAAACCTAACCAAGCTCAATACACTTTCTAAGTCAAAAAAGGGCCATAATTCTGTCAAAAACCTTGACAGAGTTATGTACTCTTGTCTGTAGATGGAGGTTATGATGGTGAACAAGTATGGTAAGTTTCAAAGCCATACTTGTAATACTTCTGAAATAAAGTGGGGTGGTACGAAAAACTTAACCAAGGTGTGACGCCAACGCCGACGCCGACGCCGGGGCGAGTAGGATAGCTCCCCTTTTCATAGAAAAGTCGAGCTAAAAATAAGATCTCTGAGAAAATAAGATAATAATGTTTTCGACTAAGAATTTTACGAATATTTTTATAAGATCTGTGAATATTAAAGTTGCATGAAAATAATATCCTTAAGAAAATAAGATCTAAATATGAAAATAATACAATTGTATAAATTTGTATGAACATAATATCTGATTTAGAATGATACTAAAGGGGGTTCTATAATGAAATAAATGTGTTTATAAAATAAGATCTTTAGTGAAAATAAGATTTGTACAGAAATATATCTGTATGATAACAAAATCTGTAAACAATAAGATATCTAATCAATATAGAAATGATTGATACCAAAAGAAAAGATAATTTAAAATAAGTGTAATTTGAAAATAATATCTATATTTAGTAAAAGATAAGTATACAATTTTATTGCTTTAAGTGCTTTAATTTGATAATGCTTTTGTTTGTTTGTTTGCTTCAGTTTACGCCTTTTCTCAACAGTATTTCAGTCATATAGGCGGGTAGTTTCCTAACCATCGTTCCTGGAGAGTTACACCAGTACTTGACTACCTTCCTCCGCGCTAAACTACCAATGCATCTCCCGGGGATCGAACCCACGCCAGAGAGGTAACTGGATTAGAAGTCATCGACTCTAACCCCTCGACCACGGAGGCGGTTAAATTTGATAATGCACAAACAAGATCTTTATATTTGAAATGATATAACGTACGACACGTGCACATGACTGTCGGAAGCAATCAATGCGCTAAAACAAATTACAATGAGTTGATTATTGGATTTTAGCACTTATCGTTATTGAAACACACTTATCAAAGCTCATCATTAAAGGTGTATATTGGCGATTTATCACAGTCACCAATCATATCTTATTTTTATTATTTCATATAGATTTCTTATATTTTTTTAACAGATTTGTTATCATACAGATATATTTTACCTAGCTAAAGATACTTCAGCGAACAGGTTTTATAGTATTGCTAGACCGGTTCGCTGAAGCCAACCCCGTATCGAAAGTCAACCAGAACCGTGACATTTTTATGTCATGCTGTAATTCAATAAATTTGCGTGATCTAGACAAAAGCTATTTTAATACAGGTAGTTAGATATATTTGGGACCCTTCAGTCTATATTTTTTAACACAGAAAGTTAGATTGATGAAATATTGCCTCAAAGTTTATCAGCGGGTTCACATTTCATAAAATTCGCCGCCATTGCTGCCCTAATTATCACGTGACCAGCGAGAATTTAGGTTCGGATACCTTTGCATGACATTTGGTGACACGTGACCCAAATGCTATTTTTAACTGAAAACATGGCTTTGCAATTATGAATAACGGTGTATTTATTCAATAATAGACATTGTACCAAAAACATGTTGGATTTATATTGTTTTAAGTGATGATTTATGAATTATTTTTTTGTTTTTATATAAAAATCATACACTTACTAAAAATAATGTACGGTCCGTTACTAAAAATAGATGCTAGAATTTCCAAAACATGAAGTCCCGCGAGATCTCATTTGAAAGCAGACTCCATATTGGTAAACATTCTCTACATATTTCTCTAAAAATAGTTGGGTACACAATGTCATTGAAGTTTCATTTAAAAACAAAACATGAATTGGTTCAAAATTGATTTGTTTATCAATTGGTATTTTTATTTGACCCAAATTTGATTAATAAGGGTGATTTTAGTAGGTTTTTATGCACGGCGCACGAACTGTCAAATTCTGGTAGCCTTTGCAAATAGGGTTGACCCATAACTTTACTGTCGCAACGTCAAAATAAAAGCGACATATAAAGTTATGGAAGCCAGAACTATATTTTACCCTGTTATACATCTTATTTTATAAAGACATTATTTTCATATGGAGTCGTTTTTTATATCATTCTGCTATGTACAGTACAGATATTATTATCATACAAATATTATTTTCGTAAGGATATTATTTTCAAACAGCTTTTATTTTCACAGATCTTATACAAACAAATATATTTTTTTAAACATTATATGAAAAATAAATCTTATTCTCCGAGACCACAGGTGCTAGTTGCATTGATTTGACCTAAAATGTGTTTGACCTTGTTATTTATACAATAAAATATCAATATATAAAAAAAAAATTAAAAAAAAATTTTTTTTTCACTGTTATATTACTATGGACAAGGTATGCAACATTCAGGTACGAAAATTATGGGTACGCCGGTTATCTGTGTTAAAATTTTCACCGGGCGGTAATATCGTCGGATTTTTGCATGGAATCAATGCACAATATATTTTTCTATTACAATTTACTATTTACAGATCACCAATTAACCGCTAGTTAATGTTATAAAGCCCGAAAGTAAGAAATCACCCAGGTGCGAAAGATGAGACCGTCATGACATGTACATTGTAAGCTGGTATTTACGCTTGAAATACATCAACAAAGAGATCAAACGGGTCGAACACACATGCAAACAACTGGATTTTACTTACTTTTAAATGGTTTTATCCTCCACGAGTGGCACTAAGTCCTATGTGCCCGATTTCTTACTTTCGGGCTTTATAACATTAACTAGCGGTTAATTGGGGATCTGTAAATAGTAAATTGCAATAGAAAAATATATTGTGCATTGATTCCATGCAAAAATCCGACGATATTACCGCCCGGTGAAAAATTTTAACACAGATAACCGGCGTACCCATAATTTTCGTACCTAAATGTTGCATACCTTGTCAATAAAAATATAATGTGTTCAGTGAAAAAAAAAATTTTTTTAATTTTTTTTTTAATATATTGATATTTTATTGTATAAATAACAAGGTCAAACACATTTTAGGTCAAATCAATGCAACTAGCACCTGTGTCCGAGACCTGGTTTTATTTTCTCTTTTAAGGGCGATTTGAGCTATCTTTGAGCTAACTTCACTTTTTAAAATATTTTTTTTTGGTTCTGAAATTTCAATGTGCTGTAAAATCATTCAAAGGATGCATAAAAATATATAACCGATGTAACTATTTAAACAGATAAGTGGACTATTTCAACAATAAATGCCACGATTTTATTTTTGCGAAAATAGCTTATTATCGGTATACATCTATACCACTTGAAACAAAGTCTCTATAATGATAATGAAATATCAGAATAAATTGATAATAAAATCAAGGGGACGAGTTACGGGACGAGTTGAGCAAAAAAGGTGACGAGTTGACCATGGGACGAATCGACTTGAAATCATGTGACCCATCTCAGAAAATGGAAAGTAGAATATTTCTTAAATCTGTTCTTCCAACGTCGAGATTTATTTTTCGTTACAGAAGTGTTTAAACAGCAAAAGTTAAATTACCTTTTTTAATTTACCTGAAAAAAAAAACACTGCAAAATATAGAAATTTACACAAACTAGATATATTAACTTCCTTGATCAGTTGATGTAAGGCGGCGTAACGGTTGGAAATCCCCGGTTACACTTAATACCGCAAACCACTGAAAATACCGGAAACTACTGGAAACACCGGAAACCCCTATCATTTTATTAGATATTGACAATTTAGATGAATTTAATCTGGAGAAAATATTTTCTTAAATCATGGAGATAAATATATATTGTTTATATATATCTGTAATAACTATTGATGAATTAAAAAAGTTAAAAAAATATTTATTAACTGGTATAAATCAAATATGTGGCGTTAGTGTATGTGAGATATTATTTTGGTATTATATGAAAAGAAAACATTATAAAAACTGTAAATATAAGTAAAAATGCTTTTTATTTTGCTTTAAAAGGCCTCGTAAACTATAAAATCGAGGGTGAAATCATATCAGCGGCATATACAAGTAGTCCCTTACCAGTGTTTATTGGCAGTTTAACACCAGTTTTTTTTCCTTCTTTGTTTAAAGTGACAAAATCACGTGGATTGTTATCTATAATGTAAGATATGATATATTTTGTGTTAATGAAGTTATAAGGCTTAAAATGATTTTAGTACATATAAAAACCTAAGGAAGATTTTAACTTTATGTAAAATGGTAAACAGCTTGTTTTAGTAGATTTACCTCTGAGAAATTTTTATTTATAATGGTATTCTTTTTAAAGGGACTCCACTGAGGTTTTTTGATATGATGGGACTGGAAATAATTTTTTGAGATTATTACTCCATTTGATGTAGATTTATACTAATAAGGTATGTGCAAAATTTCAGATCATTAGCTCCCTTCGTTTTTCCAGAATAATTATTATAATAGTGAAAAATGACCCAAAATTGAAAAGCGCGCTTTTCACTCAAATCGGACTGAGAATAGCACAAACATATGATTTTCAATGTATTTCTTGTATATTTCTTGGTTATATTTTATTTATATTTCTGTTTTAAGTGCTCATGTTTATCTATGTGAAAAATTAAAATTTTATGTTTTTAGGCTTACAAACCTCGGTGGAGTTCCTTTAAATAAAAAAAAATCTTGTTGATAATACTATTCTGGGATCCAAAATTCCCGTAAACCATTTCTACCAATTTCGTTGCAACTGCATTTGTTATTAAACTCTATAGTTGTACTTATCCTTCTTTATTCAAGAATCAATTAATAACAATAAGAGTACAATTAACAGACGGATTCGTGAAGAAGCGGGATTAAACAAGTTACAAACATGATCACTTATCGGACTGAATATCAAAACAAAATAAGACTTATTATCATTGGTGCTGTCATAATCACTTTTGCTGGTATTGTTGTTATTGTTATCATTGTTGTTAAAATGATTGATATGGACGTGATGACAATGGTGCGTGCTTTAGGATTTATCAATATTATTGTTGTTTTGTTTGTTAGAACATGACAGTTTTTATGCAATCCGGTCAACTCGTCCCCTGGTCAACTCGGCCCCTAGTCAACTCGACACCTTTTTGGTCAACTCGTCCCCTACTTTTGGTCAACTCGTCCCTAATATGGTCAACTCGTCCCCTACTTTCGATCTCTGTCTTTAAAATGTCTTTAAATAATTCTTTTATGTAAAATATGTAAAATTAATACTGAATTTGATTGATATCGAAATATTAATAAAATAATTACGTCTTTTTTACGTTAAATTTTAATGATCTTTACCTAAGCGCACGTGCATAGCTTTGATGTCAAACTACAAAGACAGGTAAGTTTACAAACATTCAATTAATGTTTAATTTATCGGAGTTTTAATGATAATTAAAACTAAAATTAGGTCCAACTCTTTGATTTTTCCCGCCTCCCTGAATGGATTAAAGACTGACGACAGATAAACAGAAATTAGAAGCGCTAAAAACTCTATGTCGGTGCGTATTGATCTCATTATAGAAGGATCGTGTCAATTAAAAACATGATAATTGTATGTTGGGAACTTGTCAATATAAAAGTTTCCCTGATAAATATAAGATTTATTCTTAAAAACACATTTGCGTTGTACGTTATATGAACATTGGATTATTTTTTTGTGCATATCAATCATTTCTTAGAATTCCATATTGTTGGATTATAGACTGCATGTGAACGGTGTATGTGACAATTTTAATTTGTGTTGTTGATTGTGACTTTTTTAATTGATTAGTGCCGTTGATTGTGACAATGTACCCCTGCATTTGAATGTATTAATTGCATTTAATCAACATTTTCATATATTTGACCATACACCATCAAAACAAATTCGACATTTGGAAAATAAATTTTTATAACAACCTTTGGCACGATTTTCACGCGATTTGTATAATTTCAAATTAAAGACACGCGTTCTTTAAATATATAAAAACGTATCCAACCACAGAGGTATTTGTGTCGTTAATCCTATTATCAAATTACCATGTGTATACTTTAATAACCAAAGGCACGTGTCACGATATATTTAATTAACAACAATTTGTATTCTAGCAATTGAGTAAAAACAGTTTAACCCAGGATAAAACCAAAATTGGTTTATGGATTAAATTATTATTATCATTATCATTATTTTTATTATTATAATTATTATTATTATTATTACATGGAATATATGTTGATATAGTGATACTACATGTACTAATATACACATGATATCGATGTATAAATGCTCATGCCGCAATTGAATGTACGAACATGTACATGTTACAATAAAAAGAACATATTTAATTTAGGTAGTCAACTGAATCCGCACAAACAACGATGTTGAAGGTAAAATCACATTTTAAAATATTATGACAATATTAGATATTTGAAATAGACTGTATACACGGTAGCAGTCATACTTCTCATACATAAAAAAATATGTCTTAGCCAAAATTGTAGCGAATTTGAGAAATGCATTCATGGACACATAATATATCTATTATAGTTGACCTGTGCCTATCTTATTGGTATTGTAATATACTTCTATTATTTTATAGGATGGCATAGAAGAATAATGGGAGGGCTGAGGGAACGCCTCCATTCTACCTTTTGATGAAACTGCTCTACGATGAGGCCAGGTAGCGGTGAGGAACTCGGAATTGATAAGTGAAGGAAGTCTACGCCGCTACCAGCGGAAAAAGTACACCTTTCTTCAGGGACAGACTCACCAGCTGTGGGATAAGTACAGGAATGGGGAGTTATCATCAACGGGACTTTTGAGAGAATTCGGCAACTTATACAAGCCCCAAGAGTAGAGTCGTAAGATGTCAAAAAAACAAACAACAATGACATGTGTATGGAAAAAATAACAATGAAAGTGTGAAAGTGAAAGTGACTATATATACATGTATGACATAATATTGACATACGATATGATATTTTATCTTTGCATATAAAACATGTTTTTATAAATTAAATGTTATTGCTATTGATCGTCTTCGTGTTTTTTTTTTCTGTATGTAATTTAATCAGAATTATGCATATATATCCTTATTATAAGATGGAATTCCAAATATTCGCATACAAAATGCGTCAAAATATGTCCAATTCAGTAATTTTATAATATATTATTTTAACAGTCTATAATGATTTGTGAACTATATGAAAAACAAGTAGTGATAAAATATAAGGGACGAGTTGGGGACGAGTTGACTAGAGGACGAGTTGTCCAGGGGACGAGTTGACCAAAAGGTAGCACTCCACACTAAATTTCAAGTTTCTGCCGTCAATGTCCTACAAGCAATATCTCTGATAAATCTGATCCCAAACTACACAACCTGGAAAAAGAAAACACATTTTGTTACGAACATATATGTCATACCATTGCAAATCTGTAATGAAATCATCCCATGTGCAACAGTCAGACAGTTAAAAAAAATCCAATTCATTCCGTAAAGGCCAAAAATCTATAGTGGTCCGAGACCCAAAACAACATTTTTCGTCCCTCCGGCAAAAAATACCTGCAAATATACGGTCTACAAAAACTCTGTCACTGCTTTAGCAACTCCCTATGCATGCAAAATATCACAAAGAAATAGGTGCTTGGCCTTGTAGATTTTTTGCTATTGCTGAAAGTTTGTACCCCCCTGTAAAATTACTTGTTTTCACCGAGCATGCTGTTTAAAAGCAATGTTTACAAACAATGGCGACCTTGACATCAATAATTATCAGCATGTGATTTCTAACCATGTTTTCGAATTTGCCAATGATCATATTACATGTCAGGAAAACAAATTTCATGCTGAAAATGCATTTTAAAGACAACCAGTCATTTAAATCCACAATAGTCACTATATCCATGAAATCCACCCTGGCCATTCGAAGCTGCGGCTTCATTTAGTGTGGTGTGCTGCCAAAAGGTGACGAGTTGACCAGAGGACGAGTTGACCAGAGGACGAGTTGACTCTGAATCTTTTTTATTGCATTCATAGGTATTGTTACAATATTCCGTTGTTGCATTCTTATTCTTAATTTTTATCAATTTTAATTTTCTAGCTACTAAAACATAGTAATTTCAGTTAGTCACTAAATATCACTTGTCACTTATCATTATTATTATCATAATTAAAATTATAATTATTATTATTATTATTACAAATATTATTACTTTTATCAAAATGTATCAGTAGAATTTTTTAATAATTATTATTATTATCAATTTTAATATTATTATCATTATAATTATATTTATATGAAATAAGTTTCAAATTGCTTGCTATGTATATAAAATTATAACTAACAGTGAATAAGGGGAATAAAGTTATGCATTGGAAGAATTTTGACGGCAAACATCATCATCATGTTTGCGTATTTTTTTATTGTTGACGTCAACGACGTCATTTCCTGTATACATAACATAGTGTAAGATATAGTGTAAGATAACACATTCTTGTATAGCAGACTGGCGTTTCCGTGAGATTTACCCATGCCGGAAATTTCATCTGGCATAGGGGTGCCAGATGAGTCGCGTGCCAAACAACAACGGCATTTTAGCGCATTTACTGAATGATCTGCGTTGAAATGACGTCGTTTTAGAAGGGAAATATGTGCTTAGGATGACGTCATTTCGCTGTTGTTATTTAAGTTGTAAGTTCATAGGCTATTGTAAGAAAATAGTTATGGATGAAATTACTTTAATTTCCATAAACATATATCATATTGAGGTAAACCATTTTAAATATGAAATAATATGGCGGAATATGCAAGAAAAATAATATCTCGGCAAGCCTCGTTATCGCCCAATGGGCGGGTCCCCTCGGGACGGATATTCCGGTCCGAACCGCAACATATGACAGATATTATTTTATCACACACCCGTGCCGATTTTGCGACTCCGTAAATATGGTATTGCACGGCCGTGCATATATTTTGACGTGACGTCATTAGCATTAACAAACATAGAGTAAAGACGCGCTAAATGTTAGCGTTATACTTCAGGCGCGTCAATGAAAAATGACTCTTATTTTACTTAAACGGTCTTTATTTTGGGTATGTGATAAATAGAATATTAAATTCGTGTAAGTTCATTACTGAATTTATTGCACTCGTTGAATAAAATAATATTATGCTCGCCAGAGGCTCGCATAATATAATTTTATTCAACTCGTGCAATAAATTCAGTATTGAACTTACACTCATTCAATATCCTCTATATGTAAGAAGATAAAAATGTGATTTGTTAAATTAAAAAGAAAGTCCTTGAAAAAATAGAGTTTAACCCCTCGAAACGTTGGAGATAGAAAAATTTGTTTAATAGATAATTATTATGCCCCCTTCGAAGAAGAGTGGGTGTATTGTTTTGCAAATGTCTGTCTGTCGGTTTGTCTATCAGTCTGTTCGTCAGTAGACCCTATGGTTTCCACTGATTATGATGGAAACTGTTCATTACAAATCAGTAGATGACTCATATTGATTTTGGGCTCAAGAGGTCAAAGGCCAAGGTCACAGGGGTCTTAAATGTAAGAATGGTTCCCGCTGACTATCTTGAAAACTATTTATCACAAAGTCTTGATATTTCACATAGTGATTGGGCATAACTATTAAGTAGTAGATGACCCCTATTGATTTTAGGGTCACAAGGTCAAATGTCAAGTTCACAGGGGCCTTAAATATCAGAATGGTTTCCGCTCATTCTCTCGGTTACAATTGATAACAAAGTCTTCATATTTCACGTATTGATTGGCCATAACTAGTGAATGGTCACAGCCGCCTCTAATGTCTGAATGGTTTTCGCTCATTATCTTAGTAACTATTGATAACAAAGTCTTCATCTTTCACATATCAATTGGTCATAAATGTAGATTACCCCTATTGATTTAAAGGTCAATACAGCAAAGGTCAAGGTCAAAGGGGCCTTTAATGTCAGAATGGTTTTCGCTCATTATCTTGGTTACTATTTATCACAAAGTCTCTATATTTCACATATTTATTGGTCATAACTAGTAGATGAATCCTATTGATTTTGGGATCACTAGGTCAAAGGTCAAGGTCACAGTGGTATTGAATGGTACTATGATTTCTGCTGATTATTTTGGTTATTATTTATCAAAATGTCTTTATGGTTCATATGTTGAGTGGTTATAACTAGTAGATGACCCATATTGTTTTTTTGGCCTCCAGGTCAGAGGTCAAGGTCACAGGGGCCATAAATGTTAAAATGCTTTCCGCTTATTATATCAGTTACTTTTCATCACAAAATCTTCATATTTCACATATTGATTTGTCATATCTAGTAGGTAAACCATATTGAATTTGGGTCACCAGGTCAAAGGTCAAGGTCACAGGCTCCTTGAATGGTAGTATTTATTTCACCTCATTATCTTCAAAGCTGGTTATCACAAAGTCATCATATTTTACATAGTGACTGGTCATAACTAGTAGATGACCCTTATTGCTTTCGGGTCACTAGTTAAAAGGTCAAGATCACCGGGACCTTAAATTGTGAGGATGGTTTCCGTTTATTATCTTGAAAACCTTTTATCACAAAGTCTTCATATTTCACATACTGATTGGTCATAAAGTTAGTAAGTGACCCGTTTTGATTTTGGGCTCACTAGGTCATGGTCACAGGGTTATTGAACGGTAGTATGGTTTATGCTCATAATCTTGAAAGCTATTTATCACAGAGTGTTCATATTTCTAATATTGATTGGTTATAATTATTAGATGACCCCTATTGATTTTTGGTCACTAGTTCAAATGTCAAGGTCAAAGGGGCCTAAAATGTCAGAATGGTTTCCGCTCATTATCTTGAAAAATATCACAAAGTCTTCATTATTTTTCCTTTTTTCCATATCTGAACACTTCCATGTACCCATTTATTGCGAGTTTCTATAACAATATAACCAATAATGTGAGTCAAAGGCTATAAAGCGGGGCATACATGTTGCGTTCGACATTTCTTGTTAATTAACTGTTTCCAGAATGAATTTAAGATCAGTGTTGTCAGATTATATATTTTTTATGTTTCTTAAAACATGTATGCATCTCTCACTTCATGAAAAGTACACCAAAGTGCATAACATTCGAGTTTTCCAGATTTCAGATTTTATTATCATATTTTATTAAAAAGAGAAAACAAGAATCCCCATAGAAAGCCCAACACGGCAAAACTGAAAACCTTGCAGGCTCGGTTTGATTGAGCCTGTTCATGGACGGTACTGCCAAGTGCAAGATACCGTCCACGCCCCCTAAAACCGGCTTAAGCAGAATTCAACATTTAACATGTAACTGGTACAATTTTGAATTTTGGAACATCCGCAGATGTGTTCATATGACGGTTATCATGGAACCTTCAATGTGACACGTAAGTGCCATTCCATGAAAAGCGGCATATGGTCCCCAAGTAAAAATATGCGTGTGCCCTAAACGTGAAAACAATGGGCGGAACTTAATTAAATGGAATTTTGAAAGGGGGTCAATACTGTAATGGTTAATAAGAACATTTCTGTATTGTTCAGTGTTTCCTGTACTTTCCGAAAGTTTTTGTGGTTTCTAGTAATTCGGCTAGTTATACATGTAATATCGCTGAAAAACCGGAAACTACCGGAAACTTCGGAAATCCTTTCATTGATGATCTAGATCTTGAACATCAAAGTTGATATAATAATTTCTAAATTGCAGAAATTACTAACGGTGAATTTAAAACAAGTTTGTCATTACTTATCTGTTTTTAAAAATATCGACAATCCCATTTTGATTTACAGACTGAAATCATCATTGATAAGCCGAAAAAAGCAAACTTATTCTTCCGGCAAAGAGTGAGCAGAAGTTGTTAGACAAATACAACATTAATTTACCAAAACCAAAATACTTCTGCATTCATGAGCGATACTGACGAAACTTTAGTTGCAATTTTTCGAATATTTCATCTTGCTATGTTAAAGAACCTAATAATTCGTTGCTAAGTTGTTTACATAAGTGTTAATGTCCCAAATAAACAATGATATATTGAATTAATGTTAACTTGTTAGTTTCTTAAATTTGGACGTTACATAAGCAAAACAGAAATCTAAACAAAAAAAAATCATCAAAAGTGTTTTTTTCACAAAGTTTATCCAAGGAAATTTACATGAAAAATGGAAAAAATATTTTAAAAGGTTTTCGCGCTGACGGACACACGAATCGCTGGTAAAATACTTGATAAAATATTACCTTGCTTTACACGGGCTTTAGCTTTTGATACATATGATGTATCAACTAACGAAGGTAATAAAACGAAACCTGTATTGATATTTGAATTTATGTTGGTTTTTGATCTATTTTTCCCGCATCATATACAATTCTGAAACATTTGTCGTCAATATTATGTGCCAACAACTTTTGCCAAAGAAAGGTTTGATTTATTGAATTAAAAACTTTCCTAAAATTAACTTTCCCCGACTCCGCATTTCAGATAAAAAATATTAATAAAACAGAATCCAAACAGAATAAAAAAAAGAGTAAAAATGACAAATGAGTGATGCATATTCATTGTTGTCAGCCTATTTAAAATACAATGTATACGTTCAAAATACTATCAAATGCCGTTGAATTATAATTATTGTTGAATGTTTACAATTCTTTTATCCCTTTTTTTTTCTGAAATTAACAATTTGAAAGAAATAGTGCTGATATCAAAGTTTAATAGAGTAAAATGATGTTTGCAACGTAAATGTATAAGAAAGGTTATTAGGGTAGCAAATATGTAGTAGTCTTGATCGTAGGAAACATTGTACAGATAATTTTGTATATGACGTCATTTTAAACTTATGACAAATATATATGAATGAATATTTGTTATTCCAAAACTTTACAGAGATTTCATTTTATTGTATCTTTGTAGTGACAATAAATTAATTTTGAACGCTTTTCAGAATGTTCTATTTTTATATATATGACATTTGTCGCTGACATATGAGTTAAGTAAAGTTTACTTTCAGTTAAGATTTGAGTAAAAAATCATATTTTGGGAAAGTATTAATAAGAGAGAGTTAACATTTTATACTTATGTATCATCGATTATGATTATTTGTGGAATTTTGAAAGAATTTTAATTTACAATCTCTCTATATATATTTCAAACAAACTCCTTGCTTGTATCTAACGATCTAGATAACTCAGTGTCAGATTTTGAAGTTCATTTTCTATATTTTCAGCCAATGCAATTTTCATACTGCTACAGAGTATTGAAGCTGGTGTGTTTGAGAATGAGGTTGCCACGGAGATTTATATTTGGAGTAGCAAGCAGATTAACTATATGCTAGGTGCAAATGGAATGCACTACAGTTACCTGATTGGTTACGGAAATGAATATGTTAAAAATCCATACCATAAAAATAGGTTAGTGTTTTTGCTGGCGACCTTTATTTCTCTATGTTATGACTCTTTGCAACTAACATCTAACTTGCAAATACCATTCACGAGAAAAAAAATCAAACATCAAGCCAATAAATAAATAAATAAATAAATAAATAAATAAATATATAAATAAATAAAAGTAGACATATTTCTGGGAGTGTCATTGAGCTTGGATATGTTTAAAACTTCACAGGGACAAATGTTTCAAAATACTCAATTTCTAGCCAACTTAAACCTTTCTAATTTTCGGTGTCTATTTCTCATACTGCTTTGGTTCTTCACGTTATCTACCGTTTAAGCGCCAATCAGAGTCCGAGGAATTTATTTGCATTTCATATCTTTTGTACAATTACAATATATTATCTTTTCATTTGTACATGAAGCGCATGCTCAAAGTCTAAGGAATGTGGATGGAGTTTTTATGAATCGTTGTCGGATAACCAAAACACATTAATCGGTGCTCTTGTTGGTGGCCCTGATGTAAATGATTATCATAAAGATACTAGACAAAACAAGCTAGGAAACAGTGTCGCTCTAGAGTATAATGCTGGGTTTCAGTCAGCTCTAGCAGGTTTGTATACAAGCTAGGAAACAGTGTCGCTCTGGATTATAATGCTGGGTTTCAGTCAGCTCTTGCAGTTTTGTATACAAGCTAGGAAACAGCGTTGCTTTAAAGTATAATGCCTGGTTTCGCTGAGCTCTAGCAGGTCTGTATACAAGCTAGGAAACAGTGTCGTTCTAGATAGACTATAAAGCTGGGTTTCAGTCAGCTCTTGCAGTTTGTATACAAGCTAGAAAACAGTGTTGCTTTAAAGTATAATGCCTGGTTTCGCTGAGCTCTAGCAGGTCTGTATACAAGCTAGGAAACAGTGTCACTCTAGATTATAATGCTGGGTTTCAGTCAGCTCTTTTAGGTCTGTATACAAGCTAGGAAACAGTGTCGCTCTAGAGTATAATGCTGGGTTTCAGTCAGCTCTTGCAGGTCTGTATACAAGCTAGGAAACAGTGTCGCAATAGAGTATAATGCTGGATTTCAGTCAGCTCTTGCAGGTCTGTATACAAGCTAGGAAACAGTGTCGCTCTAGAGTATAATGCTGGGTTTCGGTCAGCTCTTGCAGGTTTATATATATATAAGGATTAAAGACAATAATACATGCATTGTAAACACTGTATTATGTTGTTTGCGGTGCACTTGATGTACATGCACAACATGTAGTATATGATAAAACAATTGAAAGTTGTTCCCATTTCTTGGCCGCATTAAAAATCTGCATCTTCAAAGTTGGGTCTCATCCATGCATATAATCTACACACAAATATATTGTTAGACGTATAAGAATGTAAACAGAACTCAATTTTCCATATATTGATCTTAAATTTAAATGTTAGATTGGAAATAATTTGATATAGACAAGAATTTATTTGTTATAGATTTGAATTAATTTGTTATAGACTATTTGTTATAGACTGAAATTAATTTGTTTAACATTTACATCACGATAATGATGCTCAGTTTTCTATTTTTATCTGTCTACCATTTTAATTGGAGGCTTCTTTCCACTCAATATGATTCACAATCAGAAACCTGTTTCTTCACTCATTTTACAATAAACGAGGTTGAGAATACTTGCTTAACAAATAATTATATGTAATGTTTGTTAATTCTTTTCAAATTCAATTGTTAATTTTCTGTTTATGATTATGTCAATTAGGACTTGAGAAGAAAAACTTGCAGTTGGAGAAGAGCTGTAGAAACCATAATGGAGGTAAACATGTAACATTTGTTGTTTATTTTAAAGGAGCTGGGTCTGTTTTGTGATAAACCCCCTTGTGGCTGAGGGGTTGCCTTTAAGGATTCAGGCATCATAATTGCAGCCACCGTTTATTCGTGTTTGATCGTAAAAGGCGGTTAAATTGGTTCGAATTACTGGAGTCTTTGCATTCTTTACCCCCAGCAGGTGGAGTAGTTTCGACCCCTGGTTATGCTTAAAGCTTCTAAAACCCTAGATTTGCCGAAATCATCTTTCATGTT